TTACAATCGTATAATGATATTGTGCAGAGGAATAGATTTTATGACATTATTGAGATAGTTAAGCCTAATGCCACTGGGAAGAAGAAAATAAGTGATATCATTTGGGCTCCTGTTCCGTAACAAAACAATCTGTGAGTGGTTTATGTTGTTGATATTATTACATCTCAAAGCAGCCCAATGTGTTATTTTCATTCTTTTACATCGTTGGGATGTTTTCATGTGCAGGAAAGACTGCAGCGTTCATGTATTAATATGGTTGAGTAAATAGAAGCCCAGTGAGATACTTGACCATACAGATGAACAAGTGGCTGAATTCTGACGAAACCTCATGTGGTGGCTAGTGAATTATGAGCTCAATTCAAGACGTGATGAAACATTAAGCTTGCTTTCATCAACCCAAGCCACCACATTGACCAAAAGACGGCATCTGTGATAGCAGGAAACATTATATAGATTAGGCATATAGTACTTGTGAAGTAGTGTTAGTTTTTTGTGAACATGTTTGACTTATGGTTGGAGGTAGTAAGTGGCTACCATTTGTTGGCCTAATTGCAATCTTTTTTGGGATAATTTGAGTAAAAAATTTATGGTATTTACAACATTCCATGTGACTTCCGTGATGATAATCACAAGTTGATTATTTGTGCCCTAAATTACATCCACTTGGACCCAGGTTCACTACACAAGTAATAGGATTAACAACTTTCGTATTGAGAATTGCAACCTTTGTAATGATAGTTACCACGTCGCTGTTGCCATTTGCATCTGAAGTCTTTCAAGCCCAAATCATGTTTTTTTTAATCCATTTTCGCTACCCCAGTAATGATAATGACAACGTTCGTATTGATAATTGCAACCTGTATAATGATAGTTACAATCTTCCTATTGCCTTTTGCAACTCTGCATGTTCATACCCAAGTAACACTTTTTTAACAGAAATCTACTACCCCGGTAATGATAATCACAACATTCGTAATGAAAATTGCAACTTTTGTAATGATTGTTACCACCTCGCTATTGCTTTTTGCAACTGTATGTTCGTACCCACGTATAAATTTTGTCACAGAATTGCACTACCTGGGTAATGAAAATCACAACATTGTTAATGTAAATTGCAACTATAGTAATGAGATTTACCACTACGGTTTCCCCATTTGCATTGCCATATTCTAAACCCACGTATGAAATTGTAAATCTTAATTGCAACTTTAGTAATGATATTTACCAGTCTTTTTTTCCCATTTCCGGTTCCTTTAATTCAAACCCACGTATCAAATTGTTCAGAAAATTTCACTACCCGCGTAATGATAATGCAACATTGAAAATATTAATTGTAACTTCAGTAATGATATTTACCAGTCTGGTTTTCCCATTTCTGATTCCTTTAATTTAAACCCACGCATCAAATTGTTCAGGGAATATCACAACCCTGGTAATCATAATGACAACATTTGAAGTCTTAATTGCAACTTCACTAATGCGATTTACCACTCAGCTTTTCCCATTTCCGGTTCCTTTAATTCAAACCCACACATCAAATTGTTCACAAAATTTCACTACCCCCGTAATGATAATGACAACATCAGAAATATCAATTGCAACTTTAGTGATGATATTTACCACTCTGCCTTTTCCTTTTCCACCTTAATTTCAAATCCACGCATCAAATTGTTCAAGGAATATTACTACCCCTGTAATCATAATGACAACATTTGAAGTCTTAATTGCAACTTCACTAATGCGATTTACCACTATGCTTTTCCTATATCCAGTTCCTTTAATTCAAACCCATGCATCAAATTGTTCATAAAATTTCACTACTCCTGTAATGATAATGACAACATTGGAAATCTTAAATGCAACTTTAGTGATGATATTTACCACTCTGCTTTTTCCACTTCCACTTCCTTTATTTTAAAGTCAAGTAACGGATATTTTCAAGGAGTTTCACTAGCCCAGAAATGATAATAACAACATTGGTAATGTGAATAACAACATTGTTGATGACATTAACCACTCTAGTCATACCCATTGGCAACTTCCACCATCTCCCTCGAGGGTATTAAACAAAAGGTCATCTGTGTTGACAAAATAGCATAGAAATACACCTGAAGAGCATCATAGGATGTTTACATTAACATTCAGACTTTACTATATGTGTAATGGAATTGACCACTAAAGTGACAATATTTACCAAAAACCAATAGGCCCATCATAGAAGCTACATAACTTATATTCAAATGACAAGTTAACATTAAGATTAACCCACCACCTAATGTTTCCTTGTCATTCAGATTACAAAACATATCCTACCTAGTGAATATCATTTACAAAAAGGATAGCCTACCCATCATAGGATTTTTACATTAACATTCAGACTTTGCTACATCTGTAAAGGAATTGACCACTGAAGTGATAATATTTACCAAAAACCAGTAGGCTTATGACAGAAGCTACATAATTGATATCCAAATGACAAGTTAACATTAGGATTAACCCACCACCTAATGTTTTCTTATCATTCAGATTACAGAACATATCCTATCCAGTTAACATTATTTACAAAAAAGATAGCCTACCTATCAACCCTTCTCCCAAAAAAATTAAAAAGGGTTCAAGAGTCATTCCATTCCTATAAAAAAAAATTAACCCTATTGGTATTGACATCAAACCTTAAGTTGGGTTTGGATTCTTGCATGTTCTTCTTGTGTGGCCAACTTGCTGGCATGCGCTACAATGATACACCTTGTTTTGAAACTGCAACTCTTGCCTATTTATCCTAGGCCTTCCAGGCGGTCGACTAGTGATTGAGCTCAAGATATTATTATCTTTTCATTATATTATCCATGATTTTGTGGTATTTTCTGGCCCTTTTTAATGATAATTGTGCTTAATTTAGATTAAGAGTCCTTACTTTAAGTTAGTATCTTTTTGAGGATAAAATTGTCATAATTGGTAATTAATTGTATTCAATTGATTTCTAGGACAATTGGTACTTCAATTTGTTGCTTCTTATTATAGGACACTAGAGATTGGGGCCAGAATTGAAGACTCAAGGCACAAAGAGTGAAAAGGAACCTTTGCCTCAGTTCACCGCGGCACACTTCTGATTTCACCGCGGCGAACGTTGTCCGTCAAGAAGCAAAGCTCTCTACCATGGTTCGCCGTGGCGAACCCCTCGTATCAGCAAATTTCAAACCCAACCATTTCGGGAAATTCTGACCTACCCAACCCCAGGAACCGACCCATACACGCAATTTTCGGGTTAGAAACCCTATTTTGGGTATGATGAGGTCAGACCCTGATTATTCAGCCACCACCTACGTTTCTATCATCATCTTCTCTCATCTCTCCTACAGAAACCCTAATCCTCCATCTCCATCTTCTTCACCTTCCATTTTCCTACATTTCTTCTTCATCCACTTTCATTTCTTTCATCTCCTGATCATTATGGCTGAAGATTTACCTCTGGTTGGAGTTGATTCCAAGGCTATGATGAGCTAAGCTTTTCAACTCTTGAAGATGGTGGAGTAGCATGAGTTTCCAGGCTTCAAAGGGGAGTTTTAGTTTTAATCTTTAGTTTTTTAGCTAGGCATTTATGATTTCCTAGGTTTAGGAGTTGTAAAGTCTTAGTTAGATGCTTTGATTAATTCTGTAATCAGTGGTTACTGATTAACTTTTGTATTTTGGATTGATTGATGTTGAAATATGAGCTTAAATATATGTAGTTGCATATATGCTTATTGTAACTATCATTATTCTCTCCTATCTTGCATGGTTGTGTTTTGGTGCTAAGTTTATTGTGTATTACATTAAGCCAATTGCATGATCATTCCAAATTTACACATTAGGGAAGCTAAACAAAGCTTTCATTAATGAGTTCATTAATGAAAGCTTTAGACTCATTGAGTTAATGAGGTTCTGATTAAGAAAACCTAATGATTTGTGAAACTCCCATATTTAAGTGAACTATGATTGCATCAAAACCATTTTCAAGAGATTTCCTATCATTCATTTCCATTACATCATTATTATCTTAAAAACTCCAAAAACATAGTATCTTAGATTTGTTTTCATTGCATTCAACTTTGGCACATTTCATTAAATGTTAAAAACCCAAAAAAAAACCCCTTTTTATTACTTTACATAGCATTCAGTCTAACTTAGGTAATTAATTTAGGCTCCCAAAAGAGAAACGACCCGAGTTTGCATTATACTGCATAGCTTGGATTTAATTTTGAGTGAGAACCCTAAAGCGAAGGAAAAAAAGGCTCTCTTCAACTAGTCAAAGGTGGTGCCAAAAACACTTGACTTGCTATATCTTGCAGTCGGTAGTTATTAGGATTTGGCATGTCGATTGTCACCACTGGAGTCATCGTCCTACCATAAATCTTTTGTTGGGATGTAATCTTGTAGCATTCTTCAATAAAATCATACACATTGCAATTCAAGGCCTTGATAGCTGCACATGCATATGGGCATGGGATGCCTGACATTTGCCAAGCTATACAGCTACATTCACCTTTTTCAAGATCAACATTAATGGCTCCTTTTGCTGTATGGACGCACACCCTCCCCCTTCCGTAAGGAACACTTAAAATCCGTGCAGATCTCGCCACATTTTCCATCAATGTTGCATTTGTATTTAGGCCTACACCATTCTTCCATTTGCTCATTGCCATGCTTGCTGCATACATTTTCTTGGCTACTTTTTCACGATGCTCATGTAAAAGTTGGGCAACACTATATCTTTTTTCCTTCAACATCCACGCATTGAATGACTCCGCAAGGTTTGTTGTTTTGTTGTCCTATCGTTTAAAAGGGAACTTGCTTAAGGCCCACTTGTGAATATCACCATGATTGACAAGCTATTCAAATAATTGGGAATTGAAGTGTCTCATGTTATCCATTGCTTGATCAAACTCTGTGTCAAGCCTTGCATATGCAATGGCATCTAGGAAATGCAGTCCATCCTCCCTTGTGTTACCACTTGTCTTCCTTTATCCTCTATTTAACTTGATCATTTGTGTACTGAAATTCTCCTTAACATGTATGTAACAGTATGCATATCGCTCACCTCTGAATATTGCTTGCACAGTGCCTATAATTGCATTGTGTCGGTCTGAAATAATTGTTAATTGCATTGACCCAACTATCTCCTTAATCATATGTAAGAACCATGTCCAATCCTCAAATGTCTTTCCCTTCACAATCGCAATGGTAAAAGGTAATAATTCATTGTCTGCATCATAAGCTGACGCTGAAAGTAGTGTCCCCTTATACGGTCCACTTAAATGACTTCCATCAATATACAGTACATGTCTAGCACCAGCAATAAAACCCTCTATACAACACCCATAGGCTATGAATACACGCTCAAATCTGTTGTTCCTTGCAGCCACCCATTTTGCCACTGTTTTGTCATCGGTTTCCTTCAACCGGTCACATATCCATGGAATAAGCATGTAAGTTTGATCAGGTCTGCCATGTATGTCCTCCAATGCTTTTTCCTTGGCCCTGTATGCTTGCTTGTATGTCAACTTCACACCATAATCTCTTTCCAACCTCTTTTTTATATCATTTGGATGCATGTCTATGTGATCCCTAACCTCTTCAATTATAATTGATGATGTCAAGCTAGCTGATCCACCATGTGTCACGTGAAGATTATCTTGGGCATTATGAACATGCTCATTTTTTAATATCGTTACACGTAAAAATGCTGGAGTACTCTTTCCAGCTGTTCTCGCACTGATCCTCCATGGACAACCTTCAACATTGTATTTGACATACATATGGGCATTAGAATTCTTCACATATTTATACTCAAATTTGTTTGCAATGCTAAATTTGTGTAGTTTCTTCTTGAAATCATCCGCATCTGGAAAAGTCTACCTCAATCCTAGCACTACTGTCTTCCATTTTAGAGAATTCATCCCTGGCAAAGGAGTTGGTGCACTCTCTACTACAAATGGCAGGCTAAGAACATTTTCAGCTGCTATGTAATTCACACATTCGACAGCATCCTGAATCATTGGCTCATCATTTTGCTATGACAGTCTTGACAATTTTGACATGCTGCATGTATAATTACAACATTTGTTATGATATTGACAACAACATTATGGCAATTAACACGTGACTTACCTGTTTCGATTAGCCACTTCTTCCTTCGTATTCTCATTACTTTTAGTTGCTACATAAACATGTGCATTACTATCATTATACTCAAATAGGTTGTCAACTTCATCATCATCAATAAGATCTATTAATATCCTATCATTAAAGCCTAATGTGTATTTAATGTCGCAACCATTACTATCTACACCAAACCATTCTCCTATCATAACCCTCAAATCTTCAAGCCTTATACCCTCCTTTATCACTCTTACCCTGACAGTTCCACCATAGTACTTAACTTCACCATCACCATTTTCCACAAAGTTCCCACCCACATGAAAGTAACAAGCAAGACGCTTTGAAGATGTTGACCCAATGTTAGATGTCATCAAAGCTACCTAACCTGCACCAGAGAAGCATAAATCAATATTTTAGTTCCCCAATAATCAATTTCATTTATCAGGATTTTGAAACTTTTCTTAGGATTTCACAAAAAATGCAACACCCAAAAAACGCACACACATACTTGCTGCATTGACAACTTAAATATGGGATTTCACAATTCCAATAATGAATTTAACAACACTGACCACCTCATGCTTATTGTTAGCCCTCAAACTTCATGCCCATGTTATCAGTTCCCACCATTTTTCCATTTTTGATGTATCACTCTCTCATCCTGGTCAGATTCTTCATTTAAACCATCTACACTTATAAACCCATCCCCATTAGACCATGCACCAGTAGACCGACTTGAAAACCTAAAACCATCGTTAAGCTCCACTTTCTTATGTAATACCCACGTCTAACCTCTCTCTCACTACAAACCAAGTTAGCCACAAAGCAATTCCACCAGAATAAATCAGATTTGTAGAATGGTGAAAGTTGGAGGAGTAGATAAGAGCATTTTAGGAGAAATTTTCCTTACCTTTTTCATCTTCTTAGCGTTCGACTCTACTCCAGCTGCGTTTTCAGCTTCTAAGCTCTCTCTCTTCTGCTATTACATGTCATGTGTTCGTTCTTCATGTCTTCAGACTGGTTCAGGGGCATTTTAGTCTTTTTCACGAATTATCCAAATCCTAGATTGATACCCCATGCCCATTTTATCATTTCAGTAATTTACATGCCCATTTTGTCATTTCAGAATTCAACAGTCATTTTCTTGTCATTTTCCCAAAGTTAAAATCTATTTTGCAAATAAATCAAAAACAATTATAAATACCTTTTTTTATTTTCTTTTGTATAAAAAATGAAAAGGTAATTTAAAATTGAAAATGGAAGAAAATTAATTAAAAAGATAGCAAATAATAAAAACTTGGTTTTAGGGAAATATGACAGAATGCTTATTAGAAAATGGAAATTAGATTATCCTTGCTCAAAATGATCTAGTAGTTATTTTGTTCACTAATTTAAAATTAAAATCTTAATCACAGATTAAGTCAAGTAATCTTAATCAATGGATGTTCTAAAACTCTAGCTACAACCACCAATTAAAAATATCATTAAAAAACGATTAGTAAGCAATTAGGCTTAGATTAATGTAATTTGGGTCTCTATGCAAAGAACACTCAACTTGAGATATCTAACGAGTACTATGCAATTATAAAATTCATCTAAACAATGAAAGAACAACATAACCACATAGAACTTCAAACAAAAAATACATATATATCTCAAACTGTATAATTCAATCCTAATCACAAACATTCAATCCCAAACTAAGAAATTCGCGCTACAAAATAGATCATTTTCATCTCTCATTTCGTCTGTTTTTTAAAATAGAAGAAAAAAGGCCACTGTACTCGTTTGTTATGGCAGAACAGATGAATATGTACACACATACTCGTTTGTTATGCTGAACAGATGAGTATGTAGATATATACTTGTTTGTTAAGTAATAGACGAAAAAATTTTTACTTTAAATTTTGAATTTTTAGAATGAAGTGCCATTTTTTCATCAGATCAGAGAGAATCCTAACAGCAATTTCTCTTTTTCTCCTCTTCTCTTTTGCCGCAAGCTTTCTCTTCTGCCTCTTCCACTCTTCTCATGCGACAACCAGCATTCTTCTATCTTCTCCTTCTTCGTCAAGATAGCTCCTCCTCTCTTCTCTTTCTTAACGACGCAACAGCTCAACGACATAGTGAACTCCATGGCCAGCCTCACTTCTTGATGGCGAATGGCCCCTTTTCTCTTCTCTTGCGTGCTTGACAACACTCTCTCCTTCTTTTCCACGGCTTTAGCTTTGCAAGAAGCAAGGTAAGTTATATAGTTTGGTTTTGAATGTTTTGGTTGTGTGGTGTCGTACCTCCTTTAATACCACATATTATATTACTAATAGAACCATTTGGAACTGTTATTCAAGCTTTAAGGGTAAGAAAATTCCAAATTTAGAAATTTTGTCCTAAGTTACTATTCACTAAATTTTTATAAACTTTAAAAATTCATAACTAATTATAGAAAAATCAAAATGGGATGGTTCCAAGCTCTACTTAAAGCTTGCAGTACGTTCTTTAACTCATTGGTATCATATCTATCACATCCAGCATTATGGTAATTAGAGATAAGAAATATTCTCAAATTATTGAGGATTAAAAATAATAAGGAAAAGTCAAAGAATTTTGGTGGAAAATAATTACAGTAATTTTCCAAGCCAATTATAGGAAATTGACTAATTAAAGAAAATTGGTCAAATGTAAATAAGGAAAAATATTTTCGAGCCATGAAAAATTAAAAAAAAATAGGGATAATATCCTTTGAAAGTTATATAAAATTATAAAGTTGGTTTTATGACCAAATTACCCTTAGAGAAATTATAAGAGAATTTAAGGGTGATTTAGGCTAATTGAGGGATTTTATTTGGAAAATTCCAAATAAATATTTTAAGAGGAATAAAATTCCAAGAAAATTCCTATGAGATCCCAAGGAATTATAAGGAATTATGGAATTAAATGGAAACCCTCAAGTGTCCAAGATTTTTCCAAATAAATGTGAAAAGTGGAAAAATCCCTAAAGAGAGGGAAATTAATTTTCCTTTTTATTTAAATATTAGGAAATTAATTTTTGAGACAAAGAGGGCAATTTGGGAAGATAATAATGAGGAGAATAAATTAAGGATCTGACAGAAAATAATTACAGAGACTAAGTTACTGTAATTATAGAAAAGAAGTTAAACTCAGAGCCTAAAGTATACCGATAAAGCAAGATTGGTGTCTTGCAAATCTAAGGGATCCTATTGAGCCATGTGTCAAGCTCTTGGAGGAGAAGATTTGAATTAGCCAAGTGTCATTCCATAAATGGAGAGGATTTTGACTTTAGTAATTAATTTCATTTGGAATTATGTTAATTAGGAAAGAGGAATCAAGACTTAGTAGGGTAATGACACTTGGACTATCATTAAAGAGGGTGGTTGAGATATTTTGAGCTAATTAATCAGCTCTTCCCTCCCCATTTTAGACCCATATTTCATGCAAGGGAGGAAGTGGAAGAAAAAGAGAGAGTTTGAGAGAAAACAAGAAGAAAGGGAGCACCTTTGGTCATTCAAGCAAGTTGCAAGGTTAGATCTTGGTACTAGAGATGTTCTTACTTTGTTTTCTTTCATTTTTATGGTTTATAATCTGTCTCTTCCCTCTCTTAATGTGGACCAAACTGATTTAAAAAAAAAAAGGGAAAGAAGTTTTGATCATAACACTTGCTAAGACACAATAACACAAGCTAGATCCTAGTGTTGGCAAGTGAGTTTAAGTGATTTTAAAGCATTTTTCATGGTTGTTGTTGTGAGAGTTATTTTCGGCCAAGTGAAGAACTGGACCCTAGGATGATTTTTTCATTGTTTTAAGGCTTCCATGATACTTAAAATGAGAAATGGTGTAGGGTTAGGTCAAGGTATGATTTTTATGGTTAAAGAGAACTAAATCCAAAAAGTAGTGAACCAAGGTTGAAGCTTTATGGTTCAAAAATCATTTTGATTTGTGTTCTTACTTTTTCATGGTTGAATAATGATTATGGCTGCCCTTTTTGTTGGATCACATGGTTAGGGTTTGATATTTGCTAAGGGAAAGAGGAGAAGGAAGAAAGGCTAAGACTTTCGGAACAAGGTAGCAAGTTAAACCTAGCTACTACCACTAACTAGCATTGTTGATTATTGTATGGTTAATTGCTATTATTGTGATTGAGCTCTCTTGATTGTTATGTGGCTGCTCTTTATAGTATCTTACTTTGGCCTTTGCATGATTGAGTTTGCCAAATGATAAGCATGTTAGTTCATCCATAGTAGCTAATGTGATCATACATAATAATGATGCTTGCTTGGTGATATAGTTGGTTAATTTGCTATTAGGATTTCAATGAAATCTCATTCCATAAATGTAATCTAACATTTTAGGGCCTAAATCTTCAAAAGGGAAGCTGCAGATTGAAGGTTGATTTGTGGAGTTTAGCCACAAAATTTCCTGTTAATATTTTGGTCATGTAAATATTAAACTAACAGTGATGGAAGCACACTGACCCTGACCGGTTCACGTGACTTTTTGATTATGTTCCTGAATGTGTTAAATTGTGAAATTTGGTATGATGAAAGATGAAATCCTGAGTTTCAAATTGATAGCTAATACGTTAAACATGGCCTAGTATACGATTTATAATGATTTTTCAAAATTAATGGTCAGAATCTGGACA